AATTTTAGTACGATAATTTCAAGCACTAATAATTAGATTTTGAGTTTAATGTATATACATATTTTATAAACTTTTAAACACAAATATACCGTTTGAACAAAAACTACTGCATTCTATCTCCGCCCTAAAGGCAACATGTACATACTTACCCTCATGATTGGAGAAGAAAAAAAGTGGGCATGGGAAGTTGGTTTTTCATACCTAAAGCAACATCACCAGCAGGCCAACTTTGATAGGGATATCAACATGTCATCTTCTCTACCTACCCCAAACCACTATGAAATTTTACTATATATCCCAAAATTTAAAAATGAAAAGAAAAAGGAACAAATGAAAGGGAGAGTAGAGTTGGTGAGAAACTAAGTGTAATTATAGTTTAGATGCATTGGTTATGGATATTAAAGTTAAAAAGGGCAACTCCATGTATTTAACTTTTGTAATAGGTGGAGTTACAACAATGACTATGGTACTTTTGTTTATATTTTTGCAAGTGATTATTTTCACCGTAACAATTCTTTCTCATTTGCACTAAAAATATTAGAGTTAGCCAACATGTCATTATATTGGTTGTCATTATGATTTAAAATTCAAATACTGGTTCACTATATTCCCATTCTTGTTCTTTCACTTTTCTTCTTAATTTCTCATAAATCAAATTAAAAAAAGAAAGGAACTAACTTAAAATGTTTCTTGCACTCTCTTAATGTCACATTTTTATTGAGAATTTACCGATGGTGTATATAAAATAAACTTTATTTTAATAGGCTTTTTGTTTAAAACTCCCTATAACTTAAAAAAAATTAGCCTAATTTCCCTAATATGAAGCATCCCTTTTCAAAAATGTTATAATAATACCTCCTTTTGGGGTTCTTCTATTTGTACTATAATTGACTTATGACTATATGTTTTAAGATTGAGCAGTTAACTAACTACAAGTAATAAATCTTTAAATTGACTTCACTTAACTTTATCCAGACAAACTAATCTTCTCTGGTTAAAATTTAATCAACTACTCTCTCAAGGACTATAGTTGGAGGGAGAATCCATTTATTGAGAATAAACACTCTTAAACTCAATAAGAAGAATCAGAGATGTATCTAACATCCAAATTAATAAATGATTTAAGTGTAATGCATAGGTGGATCATGAGCTAACGTATCTATTAGTAAATGAAATGTCTCCATCTTCATTATACTGTTTATTAAACACTAAATCCCAAAATGGCCCTTTTAGTCATTAGAGATATAAATTTTGCATTGTTTAGTATTTAAAAAATAATAATTGCATGGTTCTCTTCTTAAAACATACAATCATAAGAACATCTTTCTCAACTATTATGTCTTATTTTTTTAATTGTGTCAATGGACTGATGTTTCATTTTAACCAAAGAAAACAATGTGAAAAGGACTTGAAACGTAGTACAGTTAGACCTTTCTATAACATCATTCTTATATAGCAACACTTTACTATAAAAGTCAAGCTTTTTCGAAACTAATTTTCATGTTATGTTATAATATATGTTCTCTATTATAACACTTCGCTATGACAGCCAAAAATATCTAGAACAAACGAAGCTGCTATAGAAAGATCTGACTGTATCCCGTATAAATATTTTATAATTCCTATTTCCTACAACTAGTAAAAAATATAAAACAATTTTAAACTATTACCATCATACAAATTTTGATATTGTTAAAGTTGAATATATCACATCCTAATCTAGATCCTATTATGTACATTGAAATAGACATTGAGATAAGATTGATAATGCCCAATATATGAATTTATGCACTTTTTTATAAAAGACTTCAAAAAATAAAATAAGAGGACATAATAGCACTTTCACCTCCTCACATCAATTATTATTTGCTTAAACCCATCTATCTATATCTATCTATATTATTATAAAAGCATGAATACAATGTCGGTTTACAAAAATATCCTTTAAAAATTAAATTATCTCTTTAATACAATGTACAAAAACGTAAACTCAATAGATTCCTCTTAAAAGTCAAACAACTCTAGAAGTCTTTGTACTTTACTTTCCCTTCAATGGAACAATTCCGAAACGTGAAGACGTTGAGTTATATATGGAAAAAGGATTAAAATTTAGTACTGAGCTCTTTAAATTTATAATATTTTAAACGAAGTGGAAAATTCCTATTTTCCTTTAAAGCCTTACTACTTGATATTAGTTTGTATAATGTTAAAACTAAATTAAGTTAGATATCTTTTCTGATATAACTTATGTTCCTAAATATTAGGAGTAATTATGTAATCAACAAGGAAAAATTTAATAGTCACATATTAAGTTAATTTAAATAATAAGAAAATAATTAAAGGATATAATATATATATATATATATATATATATATATATATATATATATTATTATAAAAGCACGAATATTACACGCTAAATGTTGAACGATTAAAATATCCTTAAAATATTGATTGACTTTTACGTCCTTAGATAGGTAAGTTATCTCTTCAAAAAATAATTTTATATTGAACAAAATTGTAATAAACTTTATGTAATATAAATTTATATGGACTTCTAATCTTAATCAAGTTCCAATCTTTTAGCTCTTTGGGATATCGTGTCCTACATATTATTGATAATTCTAAAACCAAACCAATTCTACAAGGATGAAAGTAATTTAGACTAATTATGGAGAGTTGTGTTTAATTTGAACACATACGGTTGAGCATTGTGTAGGGAGTAATCTTAGGGTTCATAAATTTATTCCATAAAAAAGTGTTATAACACAAAGTAAAAAGGTCAATATATTATTAAGAATCAAAATTCTATACAAGTGTCTAAGGAAACACAATCAAAGCTAGATTCTAAACAAGAACAAGCTTTCAAGACTATATTATAAAGAGTTGAATCTGACGGAATTATTCTTTCTAGATGCCTCGGGCGGAATCAAAATAATATTTCTATGACATGCATTACTTACAAATATTATATCAAGAGGCATGGCACTGTTAGCAGTAATAACAAGTGGTGTACCTACAACGATTATCGTGAGGCCACCCACTTTAGATTTGATATACCTCTTCAAACAACTCAAAGAAACATCACAAATATATCAAAACAAAGCAATGGTGCTAAATTTATAAGGAAAGAAAATTAATAATATGGGATGAAGCACTTATAGCTAAGTGTCAAACGGAGTTCTAGAGATATATTGGATATTAATGAACCGTTTGGTGAATAATTAATGATTTGGGAGGTAATTTATGTCAAGTACTACCATTAGTTCCAAAGTCGACAAAAGCAGAGACTATAAAAGCTAGCTTGCCAAAGTTATACTTTTGGCCTCAAATGAAAAAGATTCAATTGGCAAGAAATATAAAGTAAGAACAAATCCAGTATTCAGTGTCTTCTTGCTTCGTGTCGGAAACGGCTAAGAGCATCCAATAAAAGATGGTTTGGTTCTTCCTGAAAATTTGGTTATCAATCTCAATGGTAATAGTATTCGTTTAATAAGAGAAATATTTCTACCATTAGACTAAGTTTATAATTTCTACCAAACGTGTTTCTTGTCAAGTTTATAAGTTCTTACGTGTGTTAGTGTCACCGTATATATAATAGACTAAGTTGATCATCCATTGTACATAGGTTGATTTTGAAGAAAAATATGCCCGTCATGCTACTGAAAAACTTAAATACGCCGAATAGCTTATGTAATAGCACACGGATGGCAGATAGAAGTTTTGACAATAACGTCATACATGCAAAAATTATGATACTGGTCAATGTGCTTCTAAGTGTATTCTTATCCCTGAATTCAACTTTCGTCTTCTGAAACTAAGGAATATCTTTTTAAGTTTATGTGAAAATATTTTTTAGTATGTTTATGTTTTGCAAATATAATAAATAAAGCACACAAGAACAAACATCCTAAATATTGGACTATATTTACGATTTTCTTGCATGAACAACTGTATGTTGCACTTTCAAGAGGGATATCAAGATCGACAACAAGAGTTCTGGTTAAGGCAGAGTAACCAAAGCATTAGGATGAAACATACACAAAAGATATTGTCCACATAGAAGTATTCGTTAAGATACCATCACATTAAATACTTATAAACTATAATACATAATTATCTAAAGAACATGACAAAATTGCTCATTTGTGTAAGTTTTGATGATGTTTTTTTATTTTAAATTCATGTATTATGCTAATGTAACAATATTTTTCGGCATTCAGATGATTGTTGTATTCTTATACATAAATCTTATTAATTAAATTTTATTGTTCCTTCATATAAATAAATATTTAAATCATCACGTGTCATTCTTAATGTGCAACGCACGTTCATAGATACTAATAATTAAAAAAAAAAAAAAGGAGGTTGAACTAATATTCTAACAGCACTCATGAGTCATGCCCCTCACTCCCATTTAGCAACTTTCTTACATCAACTTCATTGAGTTTGACCTTCACATTTCTAACCAACCACATCTCACTAATTATATTTTTTTTTTCTAATTTAATGTTTGATATCACATATTTTTAAGGTTTGAACTTCGAAACTTCTAATTAAAAATGGTAAATCCTATTCATTCTACCATAATATTTGATGATCATTAGTTAAATAGTACACTCTTCGTTTACGTTTACTTGTCCATTATACTAAAAATATACTTTAACTTTTACTTGTATATTATGTAAAATCAAGAGAAAATGACAATCTTTTTTTTATTTTTATTTTACTTTTATCATTAACTACTCATTTCCTAAATCATTTTTCAAGACTTTTGGAATTGCTATTATTATTGTGGATAAAATGGTAAAATATATACTTCATTTTTTTTAAGTAAGTGCAAAGTTAAAAGGATAACTAAAAATGAACATCATTTTAACTCCACTTGTCTAATAACAAAAAATAAGCCCACCCCTACTCCTCCACAACCCCCCCCCCCCCCAACCCAATAAAAAAAAAAATTAAAATTAAGTGCACCCCCAACTCTACCTATTGCCATGTCAAAAGCCTGCCTTCCAAGGAGGAGTATATCAAAAGTCAAAACTCAAAATCTGAACAAACTCTTGGAAACTCCATTACCCTTTTCTTCTGTGGAACAAAGAGTGATGACAGAGTAATGTAAATGGAAGTATCTATGGATTGCAGCCTTTGGGACAGTGTTTTGGAGCTAACTAAGGTATCCCAAGAAAAGGGTGGTGATCCATTGGTTTGGGCAATACAAGTTTCTTCATGTCTGAGTTCAGCAGGGGTATCTTTGCCTTCTCTTGAATTAGCCAATTTCTTGGTATCTCACATTTGTTGGGAAAACAATTTGCCTATAGTGTGGAAGTTTTTGGAGAAGGCCTTGGTTCTCAAGATTGTGTCTCCCATCATTGTTTTCCCTCTTCTTTCCAGCAGGTATTTATTTGTTTTTGTGTTTTTCTGGTTTCCAATTTGTTATGCATTTTTATCTTACTTGTCCTTGTTCTTTGAAAGATTGAATCTTTACCTTGGTTTATTTTGTTGAAGAATGTATTGTTGTAACAAATGTGAATATGAGTTCAAAAGAGTGTGTGTGTGTCTTAGTGTGCTGTATCTTGTTCTTCATAGTGCATTTCTGTCTTACATGTCTTTGTTCTTTCAAAGATTGAATCTTTATTTTACTTGGGTTGTTTTGTTGAAGAATGTATTGTTGCAACAAATGTGCATATGAGTTCAAAAGTCTGTGTGTGTTCTCAGTGTGCTATGTGTTGTATCTTGTTCTTTGAAAGATTGGATCTTTATGACTCTCTTTATTGTCCAGAGAAATATAATCTGAAAGTTGGTGGTATATCCCTTGAGAAGCCATGTTAGGCTTTTCTGAGTCACATGAGCTGGAATGAATGCTTATGGAGATTTTAATGGACATTGTGCAATAATTTTCTTTTACTTGTGCAGGTGCTTAGGTTCCAACTTTCTTGTTTTAATCTTTCATCTTTTTGTATGTCTTTACATGTAACTTAGGAGCAAATTCTGGCCCTTTATGTGTTCTTTTGATGTTTTGCTGGCATTGTGGAATACTTGTCAACCCACTTTTGGTAGCATCTTCATCATAATCCTGTTTATTGTTTTCTGTTTTTGTTTTTATGTGTGTGTAGCTTTATTTTTACCTACACTTAATTTTTACAGGGTAATCCAAAATCGGCGCTTGAGGCCGGCTGCATTTAGGCTCTACATGGAACTCCTCAGAAGACATATTTTTACTCTTAAAATCCATGTAAACATGCAAAGCTATAAGAAGTGAGTGGAATTTCCCTTTGTACTGTTCATCTGTTAATGGATCTTTCTGTCACATTCTTCTTTAATGTGAGTATCTCCCAGAAACCGAGGGCTCCTGTGCTCCATATTGCACCCACTACTTTGGGAGTTTTTGGCTTGCTAAGCTAAAGAAGCAATGTTTACTTAAGGGGAAATACTAGACAAGTTACTTAATTTAAGGCATGACAGATGATCTATCAAATACTTCTCATATATATCATTAAAGCTAGACAATTTTTATTGTAGAGATTAAGGATATTTCAAGAGTAGAGGAAAGAATGATCGTTGGTTTTTAAAATTGTAGATTAACCAAACTGTATTTGCTTACATTTCACATTTAGATGGTATGTATATCGGCGAATGTTGAATCTTGGGTGTGTCAAGTGTTTAGGTTTGTGGTGACTCTGAACTTGACTTTTATCGTAGAACCCTTTCGTATTATCTTCTCCCGTCATTACTTCCATCCTAGGTAATGCATGCATTCCACAATCTATCCATTATGTTGACCTGACTCGTATCTTTTTTGGGCAAATTAATGTTCTATTTTCAGGATTGTGAGTTTCTTGGATAGCGTCCTCTATTTGACTGAGATATTTGGCATGCACGCTGATGAGCCTGGTGTTCTTGTTGTTGAGATTATCTTTTCAATTGTTTGGCAATTACTCGATGCATCATTGGACGATGAAGGGTTGCTCCAACTTACTCCAGAAAAGAAATCTAGATGGCCAACTAAGCCTGAAGATATGGAGATAGATGGCTGCATTACTGATATGGAGAGAAATGAACACAAAGAACGGTTGAAGAATTTAAATACTCTTCTGGCTATTGAGTTGATAGCACAATTTTTACAAAATAAAGTAACTGCCAGGATTCTTTACTTGGCTCGCCAAAACATGTGAGAACTTTTTCCCTTCACAATCTCTTTCCAAACTCTATGCATTGTTTCAAGTGTTTTTGATGTTTGTCTATGCTGAAAAGACTAACAGTTTACTTTTAGCTTTGCATGTCAAGTTACAAGCTTTGTGATTTAACATTATCTCACGTAGCCGTAGATGCACTTACATTGAAAATAATGAAATCAATAGTACCTTAATGTAACTGCCACATGTTTAACCTTTGTGTCTCCTTAATGATAGTTTCACATCATATGTACATTGACTACTCGAGCTTCATTTTGATACTTTATATATATATATATATATATATATATATATATATATTTCTACTTCCTTGGAATGACTTTCTGAAATTTTACTCTCATTTGAAATATCCAATTAATATTGTACCAAAACCTGTCAGGCCCGTACATTGGGGAGCTTTTGTTCAGCGTATACAACTACTAGCTGGAAATTCATCAGCATTGCAAAGTTCAAGCGTTATATCACCCGAGGCACTTCTTCAGCTGGCATCAGATGCTCACAATTTAATCAAAACAAATTCCTTACAAGAACGTTATGTCAGAAGCACTTTACGATCTCTAGCTACTTGTGCTGGTCTTTGTTTTGGGAGTAGCCGTTCTTCCCTTTGGCTTCCTCTAGATCTCTTCCTGGAAGATGCAATGGATGGTTCACAAGTTAATGCTACAAGCGCTATTGAAATTATAACTGGTGCGATTACTTTTTCTGTCACATTTTTTGTGTCAATAAAGAAAACTGTAATAATTATTTGATGTGGCTAATAGAATCAAGTGCTTTACTTCTGCAGACTTAGTCAAGTCCCTACAAGCAATCAATGCTACAACTTGGCATGAGACATTTTTAGGACTTTGGATGGCAGCTCTACGACTTGTTCAAAGGGTTAGAAAAATCTTTGATTACTTTGTGCTTAATGTACTCATGTTTACCTTCTCCAACTTAATTTCCAAACCTTAAGTTAATGGGCTTCAAAGTAGTGCATTAGTGCCCTTATATTTGTCATGTATGATTCGTGTGATAAATGCATAATATTTTCATCTTTATCTTGGAAGGATAATATTTAATTTTGTATGACGGAGCTGCAACATAGCTTAATAAAGCTATTTGGTAGAGAAAGACAAGAGAGCTGTAGAAATTAATTTAGGCACTTGATTACCAAAGCTTGTCTTAGGACATAAGATATATCTTTTTCATTTTCTCTCAGTTCTGAATTTCCCCATAACAAAAGAATATGTTTTCAAGTGTTACCTAAACAGTTTTATTATTGTCATTATTGGTTTTTTTGGATAAGTCAAGTGCTGCTTAAACAGTTGCAGTATGCAAGTCTGAGGTGAGGGAAATATGATGCTACATCCATGAGCACACAATTCTTTTCATTCAAAATTTGACCAAGATATTAAGATGATACGGTTTATTTCATTAGTAGTGCTAAATCTTTTTGTTTGTATTTTGATAAATCTTGTTTTCAATTGTCTTAGGAGAGGGATCCAATTGAGGGCCCTATGCCTCGCCTGGATACTCGCTTGTGCATGTTGTTCTCTATCATAACACTTGTCGTTGCCGATCTTATTGAGGAAGAGGAAAGTGAAGCATGTGATGAAATTGAATCCAGCATAGGCAGGCACATGAAAAAACAGGTTGCAGGCACACGTCGTAGGGATATAGTCTCTTGTTTACAGAGTCTGGGCGATTATCAAAGCTTGCTAACGCCGCCTCAGGCAATCACTACTGCAGCCAACCAGGCTGCTGCTAAAGCAATGATGTTTAGATCAGGCATCAATACCAACAGTTCATACTTTGAGTGCATCAACTTGAAGGATTTGCCAATCAACTGTTGTAAGTACTCTCTTTTTACATAACCAAATAGAACTTGAAGGTTTATGAAACCACCAGTGTTACACCCTTTGTTTTACTGCTGTTAACTCTAACAGAGACTAAGAGAGGTAGAATCGACGGGTTCACTGGGTTTCTAACTATAGGCTTGGGAAATACTTTGGTTGTCTAAATTCTATGCGGGTTTTAGGCTCTAGTGAACAGTATATGTCAATAGTGTGAGGAAAAATAAGCTTTGAGATATAGGTATAACTCAAAGTAATTGCATATATACGAGTAGTCTAGAAGCAAGAGGAATGTCAAATATTTGGAAAGAACATAGATTATGCTATGCATCATTATACAGAACAAATGTTATTGCAAATATCTGGCATGTATATGAAAATATAAAATATATATTGTCTGTGTATGTATATCTGTGACCAAAAATTGGTGGTAGATTTATGATGATCAGAGTCTAAGTATCCTTGACATGTGGCCTATATGAGTATGCTTTACAAGTAGCACAAATTATTGCAGATTCAGTTTTTGATACTTATTTTGTACCACCGGTTGTGCCTATTATCATGCACCTATAAATGTACACTCGTTTTCTACTGATGTTGTGAAAGTCATTGATGGTTTGGTAGAAGATTTACACTTTTCAATGCTGTTTATCCAAGAGAAAGTCTGTTAAATGTACAAGAATAAGCATTTTTCACATTTTTTGGTGATTGTTTAAACCTTATTTAATCGATCAAATTGCTGAAAATTTTACCATCTGATCTTGTTTCCATTCCTGAGAAGATGCCTAACAATGCTCACTTTCTTGTAAGCTTCATTGTAATGTGGTTATATATTAGAAGATGTTATTATTGTATGTGGCTAGAACTCACGCATATGAGAGAATGACACCAGTGAAATGGACATTATGGTGGTCCAACATTTCTTGCAGATTTTGTTGTTTATTTTTATTATGCTGTTGCTTTCTGAACAACGCACGAACTTTGCCCTTGCAGCTGGTAACCTGTATCATTTGATAGTTGAGGCATGCATTGCCAGAAATCTGCTGGACACTTCTGCTTATTTCTGGCCCGGCTACGTGAATGGACGCATGAACCAGTTACCGCACAGTATGCCAACTCAAGTGCCTGGTTGGTCATCATTTATGAAGGGAGCCCCATTGACTCAAGCAATGATTAATGCTTTGGTTTCTGCTCCTGCTTCAAGGTATGCCTAGGTTAGCTTTACGTTGATACTTTAGTTCCCTAAAAATGTTTAAAGTTCAATGATTAATTAAGGAAAAACCAAGTTCATGCTGTAACTAATCTGAGTGTCGAATCTGTGAAACAATTGAAGCTTGCAATACTGAAGCAACAATAGGCTGTGTATATTTATGGAAACGGCCGATGGTAGAGTTATCTATAGTTGTCCCCTTATCCTAGGCAAATGACTCCTAAGTTGAGAATGACAGATAGTTGTCATAATCTATTGTAGTTTTTCTTGATTGTAGCCTGGTCTTCAGTTGCTTTTTTTCTTTCCTGAAGCCAGGTATATCAGATGCTCTTTTTTATTGATTTAGCCAAGGGTAAAGCAACTTAATTTAAGCTCATGGATTTAATGGAAGTTTAGCAGAGCTTGAGAAGATTTTCGAGATGGCGGTCAAAGGAGCAGACGATGAGAAGATAGCTGCTGCCACCATTCTTTGTGGAGCCTCACTAATTCATGGTTGGAATATACAGGTAACAAGAAATAATTTGTTTCAGCACATCTGTAGCTCTATAAGAGAAAGGAAATTTTTAGTTTAGATTGTGGATGCATGTGCCAAATGGTTCATGTGTCAAGCCTAAGTAATCACATTATGGTCCTGTTACCCATTAAGTATTATTAAATCGTTCATGCAGACAAATAATGTGATTCTTCCTTTTGGTTATGATCATGCAGGAACATGCTGTTAATTTCATAACCAGGTTATTGTCTCCTCCAGTTCCTACTGACTACTCTGGTAAAGATAGCCATTTGATAGGCTATGCCCCAACGTTAAATGTCTTACTCGTTGGAATAGCACCAGTGGACTGTGTTCAGATTTTCTCCCTTCACGGCATGGTATATTTGTTAAGCTTCATATTATTTCTTGTATAAGATGAAAATACATTTTCTATGTGTTCATGGTAATCTCCTTGCATGTTGGTTACACTACTAAGGAATTTATTGGTTCTACTAATATCCAGACCTAACTTATTGTTTAGAATTTATTATTCATATAAGGGCTGCTAGAGAAGCAAAAGAACTAAGTTATCTTAAACAAAGGGCCTTCGTCTCAGTTGTGGGCGCCTTTTTTAAAGTTTATTATTTTCAGCTGGGAAACAAAGCCCATAGTCTCAGCTCATTGTGTGTAGAAGTTGAGTTCTTTCTCCATGATAGATCACTTGCTTGATTGGTTACTTTTTCCTTTCTTATCCAAGATAAGATTGAGTATCATGCTGACATTGTACAGTATGACATGTATAAGAGGCCTTAAAACATGTGGACTACACCCTTGACTATGTTCGTTTTGAACCTTGAAACATAATAAGCATGACACTTCCATTAGGTTCCGCTAAATGCTGTTAAAATTTGCTAAATTTGAGAAAAATTTAACGAGGAGGAAGTGGAAAACATAAAAGTTTTCAGAAGAGAACGTTTTAGCTTTTTCTTCTCAACAGATTCTTGAACCCAAAAAACGAATAACCAAATCTGAAATCTTACTTAACAAAGACATGAAAGAACTTAAAGATTTATTCAATTTTTCTTTTGAAAGTCAAGTTGTATTCAGGTAACTGCGGAAAGTAAGAGTTGTAGCAGCATCCTAATCTATCCTTAAAACGTTTAAGATGCCCTTAAATACCTCCCGGCCAGATGGGAGAACTCATTTTCTCTACATTTTTACTTAAATGATAGAGTGAGGCATGAATAATTTCAGAGTTCTGCATGCCTACATAAACTTCAAGGTACCTATTTCTATTTTTGCAGGTCCCACAACTTGCTGCTTCATTAATGACAATTTGTGAGGTGTTTGGTTCATGTGTTCCTAATATCTCATGGACGCTGACAACAGGAGAGGACATCTCAGTGCATGCTGTGTTCTCAAATGCCTTTGCTCTACTACTAAAGTTATGGAGGTTCAACCATCCACCTATTGAATATAGAGTCGGAGATGTGCCCCCTGTGGGATGCCAACTAACTCCTGAATACCTCCTACTAATGAGGAATTCCCATCTTGTGTCTTCCGGAGACATGCTAAAGGATCCAAATAGAAGGAGGCTTGCAGCTGTTGCAAGTTCATCTTCTCCTAATCCTATATTTGTGGACTCATTTCCAAAATTGAGAGTTTGGTATAGGCAACATTTGGCATGTATAGCTTCAACTTTGTCAGGTCTTGTAAATGGGACTCTTGTCTGTCAAACTGTTGATCTTTTACTCAATATGATGTTCAAAAAGATTAATGGGGGAAGTCAGAGTTTGATCTCCATAACATCCGGAAGTAGCAGCTCTTCTGGAACTGGAAGTGAGGATACTTCTCCAAGGCCTAAGTTACCTGCTTGGGACATCCTCGAAGCCGTTCCTTTTGTGGTTGATGCTGCTCTAACAGCATGTGCTCATGGAAGACTTTCTCCCCGTGAACTGTGCACAGGTTAGTCAATAAATGTGACAAATGACTCTTTTCCTTTCAACCTAAGTATCCGCAACTTCAAGATCATCCACTTGCAAATCTCTGAGTGAACTAATTAGCAATTAAAACTAGTTTGCACTTCGCAGGTTGCAGCATACATTTTTTGGAATTTGATTTTAGTTGCTTCCTTGTAAATAAGTATATCTTTGATGTGTTAAAGCATAATTTTAAGGGGGAGGAGGTTTAGGAATTTCAAGCACTTTGACAATGCCTTTAGTTCTCATCGAGGGTTTAAAATTATGGTTCTATGTTATCAAATAGTTCCATTTCTCAATTTCAGGACTTAAAGATTTGGCTGATTTTCTTCCTGCATCGCTAGCAACCATTGTAAGCTACTTCTCAGCTGAGGTCACTCGTGGTGTTTGGAAACCAGTTTTTATGAATGGCACTGATTGGCCAAGTCCTGCTGCAAATCTCTCCAATGTTGAGGAACAAATCAAGAAAATTCTAGCAGCCACTGGTGTAGATGTCCCAAGCCTTGCTGCAGGTTTTTCCCCATTACTGAGAGTGATTAAGAATGTCATTATCTATATTGTGTCAAGCCATATATGTTGCTTCACTTCTTCTGAACCACATATAGACTTGAGTCTGAAGCTAGCTTCCTCCATTCCAAGACGAATGACACAATTACTATTTTGGGAAGTCATACTATTTTCTTTAACTACAATTTTTTAAACCTTTTTATAGTTGTTGTAACTATAAAAAAAAAATGTTATTTCTAGTTACATAGTTTTTAATATGTATATGTTATTTCAAAAAGATTAAGACATTGATGTCTGAATTTGCGCTGAAAATTAAATGCGCTCCCCCTAGCACTCCATATGCTGACATTCTTTTTGGAAGTAAGGGAGTATCTAAAATAAGAGCGGCAAAAGATTCATGAAAAACATTTTTAAAATAACAGATCTTAATGTGTCATTTCCTTCTTGGGAAACCTATGGTTATTTATATTTGATTGTGTAAGAACTGAAATCATCTGTGGTGTCTAGGCATGATGAGAATCTTTTCTTCAACTTTTTGTACTTGATCATTGAATTCCAATTTTTTTCTTCCCCAGGCGGAAGCTCGCCGGCAATCCTTCCACTGCCATTGGCTGCATTTGTCAGTCTTACTATAACGTATAAACTCGATAAAGCGTCCCAGCGTTTTCTCAATCTGGCAGGCCCCGCTCTGGAGTCACTTGCAGCTGGCTGCCCTTGGCCATGCATGCCAATTGTGGCTTCTTTGTGGACCCAAAAGGCAAAAAGGTGGAGTGACTTCCTTGTGTTTTCTGCATCTCGAACCGTCTTTCTCAACAACAACCATGCAGTCATTCAGCTTCTCAAAAGTTGCTTCATGACCACCCTTGGTTTGAACTCTTCCTCCATATCAAGCAATGGTGGTATTGGTGCACTTCTTGGACACGGATTTGGATCACATTTCTATGGTGGTATTTCTCCGGTTGCCCCAGGTATTCTGTATCTACGAGTTTACAGATCCATCAGAGACATCATGTTCTTGAGAGAAGAGATTGTTTCTCTTCTGATGCAATCTATAAGTGATATAGCACACAGTGATCTTCCAAGACAAAGGTTGGACAAACTGAAGATACCCAAAAATGGAAAGAAATTTGGAAATGTTTCACTTGCTAAAACAATGACAAGGGTGAAATTAGCTGCCTTGCTTGGGGCTTCTTTATTATGGTTATCTGGTGGCTCAGGGCTGGTGCAGTCATTAATAAAAGAGACTCTTCCCTCTTGGTTCTTGTCTGTTCACAGCTCCAATCAAGGAGGTGAGGGTGGTCTAGTTCCGATGCTCAAGGGGTATGCACTGGCATACTTTGCAGTACTCTGTGGAGCTTTCGCGAGTGGTGTCGACTCGTTATCCATGGCATCAAAGAGACGTCCAAAAATCATTGGGCGTCACGTGGAATTCATAGCCAGTGTCTTGGATGGCAAAATATCACTTGGTTGTGATCCAGCTACTTGGCATGCCTACGTGTCGGGATTTGTGAGCCTGATGGTTGGTTGTACACCAACTTGGGTGTTTGAAGTAGATGCTGAGTTGTTAAAGAGGCTCAGTAAAGGCTTGAGACAATGGCATGAGGAGGACCTTGCTCTTGCTTTGCTTAGCATTGGTGGTGTTGGTACAATGGGATCAGCTGCAGAATTGATCATGGAGGTTTCATCATAGTATTTCTTCTTACCATAAGAAATTTTGTAGGTAGATTGTTATTGGTAGTTTAAACTTAGTGTTCAACCAAGGAACCTTGTGTACAGTTTAAAGGTGTAACCTTACTTTATGTGCTTTTTAGGCTGTTTGTTGATAGGAGGGAAGTCATGTACATTTGGTGTGAAAATATGTCTTTTGGGTTCGAATTACTAAAGATTATATCTATGTGATAAACAAGATTGAACCAACTTTTGTCTTTTGAGGTGATATTGAAGGCACAGGATCCTCTATTACACTGCTACTCTTTAGTTGCAGGTTATGCCTATGGTTTCCAAACCTTTTACGTTTAGTAACACAAGGTAGCTGGACATTATAAAAGAAACTGAAGAAAACACAGCAGTTTGATTTAAATATTTTCTTGGCAAACTGCAATGTACAATGTATTGGGGTCAAGATATCAACCAACCAATCAATCAATTATTCCTCTTTTTTTTTTTTTTTTTATTTTTTTTTTTTTGTTAAGAGGAAACTATGCCTCAATCAATCAGTTAGGGAGGACATTGGCCAAGATAGACTAGATGCTGATATTAACTCTGTATTCGGNCACTCAAAAAAATTAGGAGAACTCTTCTCTTGGCAGACCAATGCCAAAAAGAGTTTTCGCTGCAGCAACAGCTAACAAAATTGATTTTATCATACAACGCCACTATAAGCAGTTGACCTTGTCAATCCTAGACTTCGCATAGCTTGCCTTACTAGAAATGCATCATCCCATTTGCCGGCATCCGCATAAATGTTAGAGAGAAGGACCCTACTAGGACCATGAGATGGCTCCACTCTTGCAAGGTTCTCTGCAGCCCTTTCTCCTATTTCTGTGTTACCATGAGTTCTACAAGCAGCCAACAATGTGCCCCATATGATGGTATCTGCCTCCATAGGCATGCTCCTTATTAGCTCTTCAGCTTCTTTCAACCTTCCTGCTCTGCCAAAAAGATCCACCATACAACCATAGTGCTTAACATTTGGTTTTACATTATACAATTTAGTCATGCTCTGGAAATGCTGTTCACCAGCCTCCACCAACCCAGCGTGGCAACATGCACTTAAGACTCCAATGAAGGTGATTGAATTGGGTTTAATGGTTCGCCTCAGCAAATCTGAGAAAATATCAAGAGATAAATGCGCGTGCCCGTGCATTGCCAGGCCACAAATAATGGCATTCCATGGTGAGACATCAACTGCTTTCTCTCGAACTTGATTGAATACCTCCAAGGCATCATTGACATTAGCACATTTGGCATACATGTCAATCAGTGCTGCACTCAAGTTGTCATTCAAAGGGATGGAGTTTTTGCAAATATAATCATGAGCCCATCTACCTTCTTTAAATGTTCCCAAAGTAGCAATAGAAGAGAGGACACTGACCATAGTTATTTCATTTGGTTTTACGCCATTAGCTAACATCTCATGAAAAAGCTCAAGGGCCAAATCAGGTTGCTCACTTTGTGAATAACCAGAAATCATCGAGCTCCACGAGAAAACATCTCTTGCAGGCATTCGGTCGAATAAATGTCTCGCCTCATCAATTTTTCTATTTCTAATAAGTCCTGCAATTAGGGCATTCCAACATGCAACATGGTTCTTGTTTCCTACTTCAAACTGCAAACGAGCAAGATCAACTTCCCCGCAAGCTGCATAAAAGTGAACTATTGTTGCCTGTATAAAGTCCAAGATATCAAAACCCTCCTTCACTGCTACACCATGAAACTGCCTACCCTCATAAATAGACATCACTTGTCCACATGTTGATAGAAAGTCTACAATCATAACATCATTAGGACGCAGCCCAGTATATAGCATTTCAGAATACATTCTGACAGCCTCACTCAACCTCCCCACTTGCAAATAACCATCAATAATTGTACCCCAGGAAACCACATCTTTATCAACAATCTGTTCAAAAACCTCTCTACTTAAATCAACTAACCCAGCCTTAGTATACCCATTCAGCATCACATTCCAGGAAACCACATTTTTTTGAGGCATCTCATTAAACAACATACTAGCATCCTTTAAACACCCACTAAGACAATACAAATGAAGCAAATTGGTGGATACGTGAACGAAATCCGTAACCCCAACTTTCAACACCAACCCATGAAGCATCTTACCCACCTCAACCCCTCCACAATGCAAATAAGCTGAGATGACATTCACCATAGTCACCTCATTTGGACCAACACCAAAGTACCTCATATCCCGAAAACCCCAAATAGCCTCGCTCCAATACCCCTTCTGCACCAAACCCATTATCATAGTCGTATAAGACACACAATTTCTCTCAGCCATTTTATCAAACACCACACGAGCTTCGTCCAAAAGCCCAAATTTCACATACCCACACAACATTATGTTACAAGACACTGCATCTAACCTAGTACAAGTGTCAAAGATTGTCTTAGCATCAGTTACTAATCCACATTTTACATAAAAAGTAATTAAGCTATTTAGGATGTAAATGTTGGATTCAAGGCCAGATTTTAAGACAAGGGAATGAAGTTGTTGGCCTTGTGTGATACGAGAATCTGTTGAACAAGACTTGAAGGCTGAAACAAGTGAGAATTCGTAATTGGGTTTTTGTTTCTTGGTGATTTGGAGGTGGGGTTGGTGATTCAATGGGGTTTGTGAAGATGGTGTTTTTTGAGCTGAAGAAGAGACCCATTTTGGAGAGGGAAAGGAGAGTGAAAATATTGGAACAAGAAAGTGAAAGGATGGCTTGTGTCTGAATCCAGTGATCATCACATGATACCATGGGATACTTTCTTGGTTTCACTCAAACAAAATTTGGTGCCTTAAGGAGGGAAGGACTCGTAGATCATTTGACAATTAAATTTGAAGAATTAAATACTCCATTTCAATTTATATAAGCTAGGTAATTTGGGAGAAAAAAGTCCGTCCTTACCTTGCTTCCACTTATATATTAAGCTCAGATTAGTGACAAGAGTTTGAACTTGTAAGAAAAATATTAAGCTTAAATTAGTGAACTTGAAAGTCAAATATTAAGCTCCAATCAGTGACAGTTTGTGTGTTCCATTCTTACTATTGAACCAAAACCCTGGGGGACAAAAGTAATAATTATTTCACTTCACTTGTTACTTAATACTATATATTTTGGTTATTAAGCAAAAAACAATTGTTTACAACCTTTAAGAATTGACTATTTAAAAACATTTTGTTAGGTTAACTATATAAAAAACCAAACAAGTCATTTAACACCTTTGACCTTATTCACGTAATCACAAACTGTTATAAATAGAATTTTATTTATGGTGAATGTCTATATTTAAAGAGATTCTAGGATTTATTACTTGGTGGCTAAGTCACCCTCTCCCTATAAATAGATGGTTCTATTCCATTGTAATTCATCCCAAAATTCAATAAGAATTTCCTCTCTCTCTTTCTCTGCAATATTGTTCTTGTTCTTTTATTGTTTCATAACACGTTATCAACACGAGACTCTAACCAATTGAGTAGAAGCTTTGGGATTGATCATAATGATTGTCAATTGTTCTACGAATTTCCTTCATGATTAAATTCTGGATTTAAGGTATGTATATTACCGTATTTTTCTCTTTTATTCTGTAATTTAATTTTAAATACAAGCAAAGACAATAAATTTTGATTACAACTCTAATGGAGTTTGTAAGAAATTATAACCACCTGAAGTGGTAAAATTTCTATGCCTCGCCATGATCAAATTCATGTATGATTGTGGGCAAAGAATTGAAAACCCGTCCCATTGAATTTGCTCCATTCTCTTTCCCTTAAGAGAATGTGATAGTAGTATGTGATAAGTCTGAAAGAAGACAAAATTATTACTATGAATGTATCAATGGATATGGACGTGGCAATAGACGAAATTATAATCGTCATCATTTGTGGTAATGAGAACAATAAGGATTCTCAAAATAATCTTTCACTCTGTGAAAAATATTTGTCATCGATTTGACATGAGATTTTGTAAAGCACATATAGATGATTATGGTCCATTCATGATGTGAATGTGACAACATCTGATTTATGAATACATATTCATTCTTCAAAGAATATGAACGTGCTAGTGGTAGTGAATATACCGCACTCACCTCTAAAAGGAGGTTTGAGATGATATAAAAAATAATGTCATTATTATGGCATGAATGGTCATTGGTCACGTACCTATTGTACGCCAAAATATTTTGGCATTGTGATTGTTAAAAGACAACGGTAATGCAAGAAACAGATCTTGCATATAATTTTGACCATAACCATAATGGTATAACTTTCTCTTTAAAAGAGATATTCACCATATGGGTGTTGATGAATATGTGGTACTACAAAATTAATTGAGAACTCTGCAAGAGCCAATTATACTATTTTGGAGAAACACAATTAATTACCAATAAGGTATTGTGTTGTAGTAAGTCTCAAAGAAACTTATTCAGTTTCCAAAGTATACGCGAAAGCGGTTGATTATATCGAGACTATAAATAAAGGAAAGATTTAATATCTTCTATTACTACAACTTGTAGCGGGATAATATGTATGTGAAGAGCTACCCGCTTTATTCTCCAGTTTGTACTACCCAAACAAAAAAATGCCACAATAAAGAGAAGTTTATTGATATAAAAACCTATTATCATAATAAACTTGGAGTTTATTGATAATTGCACACGTCATGGTGTAAATCTGAACTTTATCAATATTGATAATTTATTCAGTTGGCATAATTGGTTTAGCCATGTTAATTTAAGTATAATGTGCAAAAATAAAAGAGAATTCACATAGGTAAATATTAAAGAACTAGAAAGTTCTTTACGAATTCTCTTACATTGCTTGTTCTTATTAATTAATAGACCAACTAAACTTGGGACTGAATCCCATGAATGCTGAAAATATCAAAGGTGAATATGGGCCCATTCATCTGCCATGTATACCACATAAGATGCATCTATGAGATGGTTACATGTGCGATTATTAATAACCTCCAACATGGTATTTTGCGAGGTAACTTGCTCAATAATTTAATTTCGAGCATAATTTCCAGATTTCCTATTCAAGATAGTTTATCTTGATAAGTTGGTTTACATCATAGTTGGTTTAGCAAAATAATTTATTGAGTGCCTCCACTTAATAGCTAAACTATTGCTTATGAGAACAAAGTTATCTATATCAGTTTGATATAGGTTATATACGAAAGTATATTAAAATATTCTCCCCTCACAAGTGGTTTCAGGGTCAGGAACCAAATAATTCCATATCATTATTATTGATGTGCGGTGTATATTTTGATTAACACTATAACGCACAAAGATGTGTTCTCAAAGTTGAGGAAACAAGTTAGTTTTTCTAACATGAGGGGGAGACAAGATACAACAGTTGAGAAAAAGTTACATGGAATGAATTATCATTTATACATCTAGATCCCCGAATAAAATAATATGAACTTGAAGTTCATAAAAGGATAATTCATGTGTAATTTATTGCAAAGCATGCCAGACGCATTTGCTGACCCAAAGAAAGTAACTATATTCTCATTGCAAATGCTCCTATTTGAATAAGTCCTAGAAGGACAAAGTCTATAGTACGCTTAAAGCGTATAGACAAATCGGTTTCAAATAAACTTCTTGATAAAGAAGATGAGCAAATGATCATAATAAAGGAGGCAAGTGATCTAGAAGATCACATGACATAACACTTTATAAAATCTCATGAGAGATTCAGGTACCTGAATATATGAATGAAGAGATCTCTATGTTATGTCTTTATGAAAAATAAGGAGGTTGGAACTGATATAAAACGTTTGTCGACGACATCTATGATAGCGCTAAATATATATATGAGGATCTTAAGTCTGAAGAAACAATTCAAATAGAATTGGTTTCATATGAAAGCCATGTAGTTTTGAACATGTAGTTCAAACGATTGAAAGTATAAAATCAATAGTGTGTGCAATCACTTTTATTTATCTTATATGTCTAGCATGACATGAAAAGTTGATATGCATCTAAAGTCTATTTAAATGGCTTATTTGACTATACTTATATGACAATCCCCAAATGATTTAAATTGCTTGAAGCATATACAATCTTGATCTTGAAGTACCACATCCTCAATGCAATTTATGCACAAATGTATCTTGCTATAACTATATGCATGATAATATGATAGCAAGAGTTTTCACCTCTATGTGAAGATATTGAACTGACGATTCCAACAAGATCATATGAAGACAATCCATCTCTATCAAGAATGATGATTTCAAGGTGCAATATATTCATTCAAGTTAATATGGCTGATTTGTTTATCAAATATCTACCAAAGATCTTTTGAAGATGGTGCACAAGATTGGAATGCAAATGCTTAAGGATGTGAAGTGATGCTCTCATGAGGGGGAGTTAATACGCGTTGTACTCTTTTTCCCTTACAAGGTTTTGTCCCACTGGGTTTTCCTTGCAAGGTTTTTAACGAGGCAACAAAAAGGCGTATTATTAGATATGTGTACTCTTTTTCCTTCTCTAGAATTTTTTCCCATTGGGTTTTATTTAGTTAAGGTTTTAACGAGGCACATTATCTGTTGAATAGACATTTAAGGGGGAGTGTTATAAATAGAATTTTATTTATGGTGAATGTCTATATTTAGAGAGATTCTAGGGTTTATTACTTGGTGGCTAAGTCACCCTCTCCCTATAAATAGAGGGTTCTATTCCATTGTAATTCATCCCAAAATTCAATAAAAATTTCCTCTCTCTTTCTCTGCAATATTATTCTTGTTCTTTTATTGTTTCATAACACAAACAACATAATTATTTGTTCTGGTTAGAAGTTCTATCAATAAATTTAGATGCTCAAAGGATCCATTTTGCTTGTGCAAATTGCAAAACAGAGTCAACTAGTGGAGTTCATCCATATATATATAGGAAATTCAAGAAAATTAACTTGTATAGTTGAATCATCAATAGAGTGAACTTCCTCCTTAAGAGAAGAGACAAGTAACTTTGTCTTGAAAGTTTAAACCATTTCTCTCATATTTTGCTGATGTATTTTATCCTACCAATTTTTCTAACAATCGATAATGTGGTTCCCAAGTGTTCTTTCGGTCGGTACGGTACGGTATTTAGATATTTCGGTTCGATATTTTCGGTATTTGGTTTCTTAAAATCCTATATCAATACTGTACCTAATTAAATTCGGTATGGTTCGGTTTTTTCTCCTTTTGGTTTCGGTTTATTCGGTTCGGTAATTTCGATTTATTCGGTTTGAATACTAACTAGTGCATAGAACAATACACTCTAATATTCTTAATTAAAGTACTCAAAAATACAAAACTGAAAATGTTTGTTGACAAATTTTTTGTCCAAAACTAATGAATATCGACCCAAATAGAGAAAATTGTACATAAAAGAATATTTGATCATTAGAAATGTCTTGTTACTTGTTTAGAGTTAATTGATGAACTTTGAGAATAAAGGAAAGTAAAATTTTAGATTTCTTATATTTATGTTATAACTGATAATATGTGTTTTGTGTAATATAATACATATTTCGGTACAGTATCGGTATTTTGGTATTTTATTTAAAATACCAAACACCAATTTTTTAAAAAACTTAAACCAAATACCAAAATACCGTATACCAAAAAATTCGCACTTCATTTTACAGTTTGTAGGTGTAAGAATTTAATTTTCATTCAATATTTTTTCCCGTTCTTCCTACTTAAGCCATTGCCTTCACACACACACCACACCCCCCCAAAAAAAAAAACCAACAAGATAATGCTGCAACAAACCTTAGATTCAAAATTGGCTCTTTTATATTTCATCTTTACAATTTCTGCCCTTACAACTCCTGTACATAGATGACTATATGTAAAGTGAAATTCTTATATAAGCCGTGCCAATATTGGCATGGACTAACCTTGGATATTGATTGTGAAAAGTTCCAAATAGCATAGGCGGAGGTCGAATCCCGAATTCTAGCACAAACCCATTCAACATGTCAAATGTAGGATTTTTTTTATAAGAATGAACATATCATCAGAGAGGAAAATTAAGAACGTTGTGAGAGGAAAATATTCGAGAGAAAACACCATTCCAACACTTTCAGCAACCTGGCAGGTAATGAGGGAGGAAAGATATGTCATCCCTTATTTGATAATGTAAAATATTCATGTTCTATGGTATACACTTCTTGAGGAAAGAAAATGTTCTGGCTATAGTTTGTACACATTGAGCATTGTTCTAAAGTAAGTGTCAATGGGATTTTTTAAAAAATGGTTCTGAACAACAATATCAATCTCCCATGCTTCTGAAATTCAGAAGGTAACGAATTAGATCCCGATGTGCGATGATCAACATTCAGCGATTATCTGCTTTACCATTAAGTGCCAGAGTCCTGCAGTAGATCAACAAATTTATCGGTCAGTCATCGTGGAAAGGGCATAAACAGTAATGAAAATCTGGAAGGCGACCAAAAGAAAATAAGTTACAACACTTGATGGACCAAGTCCCAGTCCCCACTTATTGTTGTTGTACTTGATGGACCAAGTAGGTAAAAATTTCTAACAGATTGAGAATGTAGAAACCATGCAAGGATGTGAATTCAGAAGAAAACAGTTCAGCATCAGGATTCTACACAAGAAACTAGCTAGGGATACCTTTGGTCAAAGTATGATCGAATTTAACCTATATATTAGGAGGATTAAGTTGACAGATTGTTGCTACTAAACAGCCAAATAATACAACTTGCTCCCGAGTTCCAAATAGCATGCAATGTATGGATTTTAATGAGAGGAGTATTTGACGGTATGATCAATTTTTTTCTTTTTTAAAAAAAAAAAAAAATTCCAATCAGTCGATCATCATCATTTTCAATATAATTCCATCAAATACGGTCTTCAAATTTCAGATTCAGGCCAAATGAACTCTTACAGGTCTTCTGAATCTATTTAGAGCTTTTCTGGGACAAAGGACAGATCAATTGCAACAGAAAACAATTGAGCAAAAGCCAAATGCATCAAATTTCCAAGGAACTAAACGACTTGAGAGCTTGCCAAAACTAAAACAGATCAGAATGTATATCAAGTTATCTGCTACAACAAACAGTTAAAACGAATTAATCGACTTATCAAAGCACTCAGACATATTACTTATCACAATGGTAGTTACTAGTTGGACATATTTATACTGAGTCCGACAAACAACTTCAAAAAGAACAACTAGTTAGATGGCCACAGTCAAAAACTTTGTAAGACTTTCCGTCTCTCTATTATTTCTCACCAGATATGTTGCATGGACTAACCCTTCCAACTGCCTCTTGAATATTTGATCCCACTATAACGCACTGTGTAACCCATGACTTGATAAAATATGACATCGTTATGTAAAAACCAACATAGATAAAATATATTCCTAAAGCATCAGATCACCTGATGATAATATTAAAGGATGTTCTACCTGCAATATACTAAAGATTCATTATCAACTTTGTTTAATCACATACCTCGACCTCGGATCTTCAGCGAAGAACTTAGCATATTAAATTTCTAAAAATACAGGTGCACTGTTATACAGCAATATCATGATACCATCAACTGAAAGGAAGAATCTGGGCCATCACCAAGTGTTTGTTGGCAAAATCCAGGAGCTCAGTTTCCATATTCACATAAACTTCAAAAAAAATCCATCACTACCTCAAAGACTTATCCTAAACTGACAGAGCGGCCTACGGCCAAATCCTCAACTGGTTAAGTTAGTCTTAAATTGATGAAGTTCATATCTGATAACCAACGTTATTAGAGCTGAAATGGAATCATCTATGAATTAGATAAGCATAAATGAAGAGCACCAGCAGTGATCTGCTTTATCTTACATCATGATGCTCACAAGCACCGATAGAACAATGAATCAGATATTATTCATCCATGGCATTCGATCATACACCATAAAAGCTATGGGAATGTTGAGATAGTATGAATTGCCTACTGATTGGTAAAAATGACTTACTACTTGTACACAGTGTTTTTAGGGGCGTTTATGGGGCGAGTCTCGGGCGCGAATCGGGGCGGGGCGTATGTAAAACGCATCTGGGCGTTAATGAGAGGCGTAGATCCTTTGGGCGCACGCCCCAAGAGATGAGGCGCACGCCCCAAGAGATGAGGTGCACGCTTAGGCGGAAGACTCCGAGACTCATGCCCCAGGGAACTTAACCAATTGAAGGATGAATTTGACAATTGCCCTTATATTTTTAACACCCTTTTTGGTTTTACCCCAAATCTGTCCCCACCCCATTAAAAAAAAAGCATTAACCTCGTAATAATCGTCCACACTCATAGAACCTTGAGCTTTCTCTTCGTTAGACAGTGAAAAATCACTAACATGCATTTCTGCTTTTTTTAGAAAATGAGTGCCATTTGTGCTCTTAACAATGATATCAACATATCTCTGAGCAAATTATTTTGTTTGCACCAAATTTTCTTTACTGTTAAACTACTAGAAAGTTATCCCACTCATATTTTAAAATATATATTCTAAGGCATCTATAATGTTTGTCTTTATAGTTTAGAACTGCATATCATTGCCATGAACTTGTTTGATTTTATTTCATTTTTGTTTATTCTTACAAATAATCAATGACGCATTTTACTTATCTTGTTTGGAATATGGATTGTTATTTCGGTTAGAACATTATTGACCTATTGTTAAGATGTATCTCATTTATTAGTATATTGTTTATCATTAATTTTAATTTTATTTTATTAATCATAAATTGAAGATCTTTGGGACTTACGCGCCATGTCTCGGGGCTTACGCCTCGCCACATGTTGGGTAAAACGCCTCGCCTCATGCCCCCGCCTTTTAAAACACTGCTTGTACAAAGGAATGTACTCCTAGAAATCTTGGATTGTGACCTTTAAATAATGCAATCATAGTCTAATAGGTTAAGAAAAGATAATGCCAGATATATTTTAGAGATCCTATAAATCTGGCTTTAGTGGCATTATATTTGTAGAAAGCTTCATTACTGAAATGCAATTCCTTTGAAAAAAAAAGAAAGAAAAAAGAAAAACAAAATCATCAAGGATTATAACAAACACGTTAAGTATACACTAGAATTCCCAATTAACTGAGAACTAAGAAACAAAAGAATGTAATACTCGTGGAAGTCCACTCCCGATAGCAATCCACGTTCAGCCTGAAGACTGCAAAGTATCCCTTAGAACTTCTGCAATCTTGTCTACATCACTATAACTCTCCCAAGTACTAACATCACCATTGGAAAACACACAATCTTTGAAGCCCTTAAAGTTTAACCTTCTCTCATGAATTAGCAGATCTATAAGACATTTCGCTGCTGCATCAGACGTGCATTCCACTTAGGGTTATATATACAGAAAGGCAATATCTTACAAGTTAATACTTGTAGTTGCAACAAACTTTACATTCACTTCTCATAAATTTGGACAATAGATTTGCACACGGAACATTTTACTTGCTATTCCTAAAGTGTCAACCCCAGACTTAAAGAAAGTCAATAAAATTAAAAAGATGTTTAAAAGGTCATAAGATGGGAGCAAAATGAACCATAACACCTGTTGGTTCCCAATACTTTCTTTTTAGTTTGAACACGATACTATTTCTACACAAGAAAGGATATTTTTATTTTGATAAGTAAAAAAAAAAAATGAGCAGTCTCAAGGGTAAGAAGCGCGGGAAGAAATCCAACAAAGTTCCCACATACGTGGGTTGACATTAGGAACTTTCCTTGAGGCGATACTTACCTTTTTATGATCGAGAGTTTTGCTGGTTTTTTTTTTTTGTTTCGAAGCGCTCCAGTTAAATAATAGACTCAGGTCACCAGCCAAAATTCAAACGCATAACGAGTGCCTACCACACATCTCGCTTTATAATACATGTACCGTTGAACCAAAGCCCCAGGGGCTACCTTGAGTCAACACTCGTTTACCCTATTTATGGATGAATTAACTAATAGCATACAAGATGATCTTCATGCTGTATGTTATGCAAATGGTATTAGTTAATTGACGAAACTAATGGAGATGCCAATGAAAAGCTGAAACTATGAGGGAGCATTTTAAACAATAAGGGTTTAAGGATGAGCAAAAACAAAACAAATTATATAGATAATATGTAAGGAGAAGGTCATTTGGATGGTTTAGCCATATCCTACGTATGTAGACTCTCCATAGGTTCGACACAATGAGGATTATAGGTACTAAAAGGAAAGGTAGATGTAAAATCACATTAAAGGGACATTTTCTCAAAATAAGTACTATCTCGGATTCACTACAAGACTTAATTAAGCACAGAAACTTATGGAATCAAAAGAATCCATATTAGTTATGCCAATTAGCTGGGATTAAAGCTCTGTTATTATTGTTACACGTATATTAAGTTGGTGTTTGACAGGACTCATGTAGGGACGTGTCTAATTTGTCAAAAGAAAATTAAAGAAAAAGTACGGATATGTTAAGATTGAGAGAGCTTCTAGTTTTAGTGAATCCCTCGTTTGCCTTAAAAGACAAATCATTAGTATCTGAATGAAATGGACCTGAATACAGCAGAATGGATTCAAAGGATTCATAAGTCGGCTCCACCTAGTTTGCTATTAAGACAATAATGAAGTAGTTGATCGAATGATCTCTTTGACAAATCGTTGCCATTGAGTCAACTAGTAAGCCTTACAATCACTAGCTAATGTATTTCTTCTCATCTATACATGCTTTGATGGATATAGTTATCCAGTATTTGTAATGGTGAGAGGTAGCAACTACCCGGTATATTAATCGAGTTATGCGCAAGCTCGCCGAACTTAATCACTTTGTTAATGGACATAATCAATCAGCAACTAACTCAGGTATACAAGCCACATTATCTCACTACACTTAGATGTCTAACATCTTAACCGCCCGCCAGAAGCAAAATAGCCCAACAAAATACAAGCCGCATTACCCCGATTTATAAATCTCTCATAAAACTCTTACTAACTCATCATCGCTATCACTTCTCAGCACCATCACTCACAATCAAAATAAACCAGCGCAGCACCTTTTAATCTATAATTGATTAAGTGACCATTACAGATTTCATTGTCCAATCAGTTAGAACGAACCAGTTCTTGAAAGTACAATCATCTATACAATGAGTAGTGAGACTGAAACCAAAACACAATCAACAAAAAGTAAATACTTAAAGCAAAACAGAAGCTACTTACTTCTTATGGCGACGCCCTCGTTTAGCACCCCAACCTTCAAGTTTAGCAACAGGACACCCACATTTAGACCTAAACAACAACACTGCACGTCCATTGGGGGGTGCCATTTTCCTTAACTCCGCCCTTAAACACTCATAATCCGGGTTATTCTCACTCCCACCTTTCCAAGGCAACTCATTAATCTCTCTCACAGCTTTACTACTACTACTACTACTATCACCCCCACCAGATCTTAAAAAACACTCCTCACCCTGCAATTGCAAGTCAAATTCCATAGCCCTTCTCAACCCTTTACACCCAGGTTTCCCACATTTCCTCGATCTAAAAAACCCGAAAAACCCACAACAGATCTCGAATGAAATCACCACCACGAAGAAAACAACGAAGAAGAACGCGTAAAAGATGTACTGGGTTGTTGAAACGTCGACGTTTAGGGTAAGTGGGTAGGGGAAAAGGAGGGAAAGGGAATTGAAGATGTAAGAGAAGTAGGAGATTATGAGGAAAGTACCAGAGAAGAGAACAAGAACGAAGATGAGAAGATCAAGGGTAGCTGAAGGGGAGTGATTACAGAGGGAGGAGGAGGAGCAATTTGGGGAATTTGGATTTGAGGGTTTCTTTAGGGGTTTGGAGAGGGAAGAAGAAGAAGAAGAAGAAGAAGAAGAAGGGGGGGCCATGGTAATGGAGGAAGAGAGGAGGTGATGGTGCATGTTAGAGAAAAAGGGTGGGTGGTGGGGTGGGGGAGAGTAGGGGGTGGGGTGGTGATTAGGGGGGTTTTGTTTTTCAGGTGGAAAAGAGGAAGAGGAAAGTGCGTATGATAGTATATTGTGGTGCACGTTAGTGGCGTATGTTATCATTCTATCAATTACAAAAATTTTGCTACTTTAATAATTGTTCAATAATTATAAAAAGGAAATATAATTGTCCAATAATTAAGCGTGATTTCTTTTCCATAAGAGTTATGCCTTTATTTTCAAGGAGTTTTTATTTGCAACTCTAAAATATACGTAACATTTATAATCCTCTACATGTATTCCTTAATTCTTGTAGAAAGGATTCTCGGAATTTATGGCTTAAAATTCCAATCTATGTAATAAAAGAATCCATGAAAAATTTGCTTGGTGTATAAATACTTAATATATTGGGATCCATTTTTTTTAATATTGAAAAGTAAGTGAAGCTTTCATTTCTTAAAATTAAAATAATATACGTATAATCTAAAAGAGTCTGATGAGAAAGATGTTATTTTTTTTTCACAAGAAACAATTACGCTAATTTTTTTTTTTTTATCTATGTCCATTGAAATGAATAAATAACATCCCACCTTTTCGAACTAAATCCTTTGAACTGGGATCAAATACGTTAATTTGTTTATCTATTTTCATTAAAATGTATAAGAAACATTCTCCTTCCTAACAATCAAAATTTTGAGATTTTACATAAGGGTATGAGTACATAAAACTCCTATTTTCAAGCTGTTGATGAACGGTATGTGTGTTATTATCTCCATACAAAAAAAGTAACGAGTACAAATTAGAAAAAACTTACCACATGTGGTGCATGAACTAAAGTATTAAGTAAATCACATGTGTCATTTAAATAAGACTTATATATTAAATGTAATTAATTATATCAGATCGAATTGTCTTTTCCATTGCTATCGTTTGATGCTATTATTATTGATGGATTTGAGTCCATTCCTTCCAGCATTTAAAGTTGAAGACATGAACCCCAAATTATTACTGTACTTTTTAGTATTATTGTTATTAGTACTATAAGATAAAGAAAATTAATTTTCCAATACTAATCATTAAGCGCCTTTCTCTTTCCATAACTCATTGTACATTTGGCCAATAGGGAAAGAAGTTGGTAAAAAGAGGAATTGCAAGATTCTTAAGTTCACCTGCAAGTCACAAGTAAGGAATAAGTTGGGCCACTTGGACGGGTGGATTAAGGGATTAATTAATAAGTTTGGTCCTCGAAATCAAGATTTTATTAGAATAACGAATTAAATTGTACGAGAAATAGACAGGTATAACTTTAATTAGATTCCATATTATGGGAGGTGTAATTTGGGTAAGGACCGAATTTATGGACCTCATTTAGAATCACTTCCTCCATTGACTTTCGCATTTACTGCTTTCACACAGCTACCTACATTCACGCTCTATATATTCTTTTTCTTTTTGGTTTGGGGGGTTGGTTGGGGGTGGGGGGGGGGGGGGGTGTGTTGAGAGCAGGATCAAGTACATTTATTTATTTTAGTAAAAAATGATAAAACAACGTTAAAAAAAAGGATAAATTATACAAAAGCGTTTACTAACCGTCGATAACCCCATACCAATAAATCACACATACCCAGTATTATCCCACACAGTGGGGTCTGGAGCCCATAGCAATAAGCCACACATACACAGTATTATCCCACACTGTGGGGTCTGGAGCCCATACCAATAAACCAATAATATCTTTTTCGATTCAGTCTATCGGTTAAATTGGAACTCACATACCCCTAATAAAAATAGAGATTTGTTCCTTCCTATACCATATATGAAACTTTATTACCAAAAATGTGCACAGTTTCTAATTTACTCGCCCTGTCCACATTTTTCATACAATAATTATACCATTCATTAAATACTAATTATTAGTAGCTGAATCTTCCTAATTAGGCGTGCTAAAATTCAGGAACAGAATCTTCTAATTGATTTAGCCACAAATCAAATATGTTCAAAAACTCAATTCGTCGAAATCAAATCTGTTCAAAAGCTCAGATCTGTTCTTCGATATTTTCGCTTAACACACAAATCAAAAGCTCAGTTCGTCGAAATCAGAAGCTCAATTTCAAATTGTAGAAATCAGTTCTGCAAAAGCTCTGTTCGTCGACATTCTCTCTACATCTCTCTCTATTTCTTAATCGCAAATTTCAGTAATACAAAACAAATGAAAAAGAGCAGCAATTCCACTATTGACAGCCATTAAAAAGCTTGAAAGCTTTGAATTCAAATTTGGATTTTCAAAAATCATTATTTGTTTGGATTGGGTGTTGTTGAAAATAATCGGGAATATGGTTTGGAGTTTATATCTCAATTTTGAGGGGTTTTGGTGAAGATTAGACTTGGTTTTGACTGAATTTCAGATTGAAACTCGAAGAAGAAGAAGAAGAAGAAGAAGACATATTGCAGAAATTGTAGATAAATTGTAGATTATTTGTATTCTGATTGTAGATGCTTTATTTTCAGTTTTCACAAATAAAAAACGGCTAAAACTTCTACAAATCTTTTGAAAAAGCGCAATTATGTCAAAAATCCCAATTATGCTACAATTGAATGGGAATTGGGATATAAAAATTCAATGTACCCAGTTTGTAGATATTTTATAGATAAATTGTAGATTATTTGTATTCTAATTGTAGATGCTTTGTTTTCTGTTTTCACAAATCAAGAACGACTAAAACTTCTACAAATCTTCTGCAAAAAATGCAATTATGTCGAAATTCCCAATTAAACTATAATTGAATGGGAATTGGGATATAAAAATTCAATGTACCCAGTTTGTAGATATTTTGTAGATAAATTGTAGATTATTTGTATTCTGATTATAAATGCTTTGTTTTCTGTTTTCACAAATCAAAAACGACTAAAACTTCTACACTAATACTTGGCGCTTCTTTCCGATTGCTTAGACTTTGTTGACTTTATGAGTATGGATGCATCACAACCCTGAAGTTCAGTTTTACGTTACGTAAACGAGCACAATTAGAAGCAATTTTTTGAATTTATAAGTATCTTGAATACAAAATAGAAAATATATTCTAATAATTAAAATTACGAGCAATAGGAAACGGTGTTGACAAGATATATTTTTCATTTCCAGGTGATAGTGCCTTTAACGATAAAATGAATATACGAGATATTGCTTTCTGCGCATTAACTCTGGAATAATGCTTGCATAGAACCAGGTAGAGGTACTGTTTTGTGCGGGGTGTTATTCGTCACTGTTTCTCAATTATATATTTTTCATTTTGTAAGTAAATACATTTTTTTCTACACACTATATGTATATGGACATATAGACAATGTATAAAAATAATACAAAGTAAATTGATAAATCATGTAACTAATTTTAGTTACATGATTCTTTTTATGTTTAATAACAGTACATAAACGTGGGTGAGGGTGAGGGTTTGGGAGAGAGAAACGTGGGAGGGGTGGGATATACGGTACCTTGAATTAAGGAGGGATATATGCTGCATTAATTGTACCCTTAAAATACACTATGGTATAGAATTGATAATTGGTATACTAAGTGTAATTAAGTCATACCTTAAACATTGAGGGTAATAAGATTTGCTATGTGGCATAGGAATGTAAAAATTCCATAAAAATACTTACTCTAGCTGCCTACAATAAATGGTAAGTAATTTTTTTACAACATATTAAATTAAACTATGAGGTCGTTTGGTTTAGAACAAAATATTTCGAGATTATAATGTGGAGATTAATAACATGATTATTTAGTGCATATACTTTTATTGGTAGATACATAAAATTAAAAATAATATTGCAATTGTGGTAAAACAAATCCAAAATTGCTAATCCACGAATCAAAAAATGACAAAATATGAGATAAAATAATACCATAATTTATTCTGAAATTATAATCCCTCATATCACCAACTAGATGATCCCTAATAATATTAATTATTTTTTACATTATTAGTGTGTATAGCTTAAAAAGAAAAAGTATATTCAAATTACACATGACATACTTTCTTGTTCTTCCTAAAAAGAGGGCTTATTTGTGTTTCAGACTCCCACAAAGAACAATTATTGCATAAAATATTTGGCAATGCAAAAAAAAGAAAGAAAAAAAATCATGTTTTCTTTTGGATCATATTTTTGTCCAGTTTGGAGCCTGCGTTTGGAGGTACAGTGGTGCTTTTTTGTCACGACCCAAAACTAACCATCGTGATGGCGCCTATCGTGGAACTAGGCAAGCGAACTACTCAACCATTTCAACATAACCAAAAGCTTTGAAAAATACGGAAGCGGTTAATATTTAAGGAAAACCTTTTGAAAACAGAAATAAATACGCAACCCAATACAATTTAACCCAAAACCGGGATGTCACCGAGTACACGAGCATCTACAACGGAAGATAATCTAATACAATGTCTAAAGAGTAAAAACTAAAATACAAGTAAAGATAATGAAGGTGAGTCAAGGTATGCGAAAGACATGCAGCTACCTCGATAGTCTCCCAAGATCCTGACTCCACACTCAGCAGTCGCCGTGACCGGAAGCACCTGGATCTGCAAACGAGGTGCAGGGTGTAGTGTAAGTACAACCAACTCAATAAGTAACAAATCCAACCTTTGGACTGAAAGTAGTGACAACTCAACCGGTACAGTTCTATATTGAAATAACAATGCAGATACGTAGGCATGCTTTCAAGTTCAACAGATAAACTCAAAACAGTAAGATAGATCAAATCTGAATGATATGAAGAATATACTCCTCTACTTTTACATGCCAATGCACATGCTGTATGTGATGCACCATGCTGACAGCCTCATGTGCTAACACTCTCAAGTGCTCAATCACTCAGTACTGTATATGGCCAATCCGGCCCAGGGAAGATCCATCCCGGAATATATACATTAACTGACCATCAGTTACTTAGTACTGGGTAGGGTCAATCCAGCCCGTGGAGAAGATCCATCCCAGGTATATAAATGCTTTGGACAAGATCCATGTCAAAGGAA